TCAATATTTGCAGTTGCTTTGGTTTTATCAGTATTATATTTGGCAAGTGATATAGCTGGTTCCGCAATATAATTTTTGGTTAATGATGGAACAGGTTTTTCATTGGAAGCAGTTGCAATTAAAGTCTTACTAGGCTCGATTTGCGAGGCAACAGCAGCATATGTATTACTTTTGCCAATTCCATGGGCTACAGATGGATTTCTTTCCCGGTATGTGCGTCGCGCTTCGCCCATGCTACAGTAATTTTCTGTTTTGATTTTCAATATTTCACGCATCTGTACAAAACGTGGGCATTGTTTGTCTAACGCTGAGTGTTGATCATTGCAATTTATGCAGAAACTACGGGTACAGCTTTCTGCATGTGGAGGAGGACCACAATTTGCACAAGATGCAGCACTAGTGCATCTTTTTGCCGTATGACCCAGGCGTTGGCAATTTTTACACCTCATAAGATTTGGAATGTGCAGTTCTACTTTACATTTATACCACGCCACATCAACTGTTCGCGGTAATCGATAGCGATCAAAAGTTGAAATAATCCTTCCTGTAGGAGAGCGTGTTTTTCCGTCATCATTCAGTTTGGTTAATTTATATGCTTCAGTCACTCCTTGAATGCCCATTTCGCGAACAATTTCATCTTCCGGCACATGCTTTAAGCAAGGGGCATAAATTACGCCTCGAACCGAGTTAAGTTTCTCAAGTAGTTTAGCTGAAATAGCACATAGATTAGCTAAAGATTTGACCTTTATGAGCTTTTCGGTTACGCGAGGGTTCCCAGCGAGGACCAGTAAATTCCCATCGCGTAGAATCGAGATGGAGTCGATGTATGTTGTAATGCTATCTAGAGCTTTTTTTATAGCAAAAGGGCTAATTTGGGAAATTGTTATTCGAGCATCGGTTGAAGAAATAACAATATATTTTTTATCAATAGGGGTTATATCGGTGATTGGCAACACCGGAAAATCGGAATTTTTACTTTTTTTTCTTTGGGGGGATGTATCACTTAATAGATGAAATTTATTCGAGTTTTTGTCTGGCGGCCCCGGGGCCATTATGCCTTATTGTTGTCTATTGCTTATTATTTGTGAAATAACCACTCACTTGAAAAGGTTTGGGACTACTGAATAAAAAGTCAGATGTTTTTAATTTTTTTTTTTTTTTTTTTTTTAATGTATTTAAAGGAAAACACGTACGGTATCCGCGATGAACACTTTTCGCAATAAACACACAAAAAGTTCAATAAATTATAATAAGTTTGAAAACTTTTAAAAATGTATAACGCAATAAAGAAATTAAGTTGCAAAAATTTTTTCACAAAGAGAAAAATATGACCACAGCGCTTGAACAGAGTTGCCGATTGTGTCTATGATAATAATTGCAAGAGAAAGCAAGTAAAAATTTAGTTTTAGATTCGGCTTCGAATAGATCAAAAGAAGAAACAAAAAACTTTTCTGTTAACTATGATGAAGTGATCAATTGGATTATCGTCGTCAAATGTGACGAAGAAGAACACCATGGACCTATTTAAAAAATGTCAATTTCCATTCTAAAACTTTGCGTAATATCTTAAATATGGCAAACATAATAATAATAAAAATAAAAAATTTCCATATATTTCCTGATATTTTTCGTGCTTACTCAGGAAACATTATGCTTTCCTTAAATTCCGTAAATTCTAGCATGTGAACAAAGGTGACCACACCATTTCACTTTATAAAATTCTTCATTTATTTTCGTGATAAAATACCAAAAGTTACATCTTTTCTATAAGTAAGGGCATACTTTTCATATTAGTCCTTATACAGAAGAGAGGCTAAAATGAGTTCACATTTCACGTGATCCCGGTTTAGCCTAATTAATCTTCTTATCAAAAACCTTATTATTATTCACTTGTTTTCGCCATAGGGTACCCAAAATAACATCTTATCATATAAATTCATATAGAGGTTTACTTTTCGTGCGTACACCTGCGGGGGATGGGATCAGAGAAAAAGACCTACGAGACCCAAATTTGTTATACTGTATATACTATATATAATTATAATATAATTTCTATGTTGAATTATTGTTATATATCGGTTTTCATCACAAGACATTAAAAAATAGAGCATTTTACCGTACAAAGTCGTACTATTCAGTACAAAAAATAGATATGTATAACTCCAATTTGACATGGCTAACTTTTATGTCAAACTGCTATTATGAAACAGTGTTTACTATGCAGTATTAAAAATTAGAGCGTTTTCCCATATAAAAGCTCATTTTCCGTAAAACCGATCTAATAAGAGGGCACTGAAAACCTCAGATTCAGATTTTTCACAATCATTTAGTTTTCCAAAGAACTATTACTTGGCCACTTTTATCAACATCCATTCCATATGAGGACTATCGTTATATAGGGAATGATCGGAAAAATAGTCTGATCCAAGTTTTTCTCAATGGATTTTTTCAATGGACCAAAACACGTCAGTATGCAAAAGTTCTTTAACATATTTCGAAATTGTGAATTGTAGCTGGAATACAAAACTACAAAAAACTAAATGAATAGACATTATGTGGACGGGCAGATAGACGAACGGACGGATGGTAATGCTTAAATCGAATCAAAATATATACAAAATGATTATAAATCCATGAGTATAATAAAAGGTGGGTGAATCCTGACCTTTAAATATACGTTTTTAAAGTTTGAAATTAACATGTTGAGCTACACAGTTGTCTCAATAAATCGCCTTTTGCAAGCTTTAAGAATACAGAGGATAAAGAGGAGTGTCTTTATGACATTCTTAATAACTTGACAAGATTTTTGAGCTGTAATGAAAAAATTTAATCACGTTAGCAAAACTCTAAGAAAGACTTGAAAAGAGTTTTTAGAACTTGTTTATTTTCTTCTTTTTTTTTTTAATTTTGTGATATTTAATGTTTCCAGCACATGTAAAGAAAAACAATTTAACAAACACATACCCTGATTAATGCTTTCTCGAAACTCCTTATTACCACAAACTTAAAAGCTAATAATGTAAAATTTTTTATTAACTTTACCATTAGCGACTTCAGTGAATTTCTTTCTAGTCAAAGTGATTTAATAATGCATGCATCCAATCGGGTAGCGGGTTTTAGTATTAAACGCTTTAAGATATACAGGGTGTGTTTTAAAATGAAAACAGAAATGTAACGCATTCTAATGGCGCTATTTGCACTGACATAAATAAAACGTGGAAATTGAAGGCGTCGAAGCTGAGCTATTGCGTTCTAAGCTACAGCGTGCTTGTGGCAGCAATGGAAAAATTAACATTAAACGACGCTTTCTGCGAAACTTTTCTCGAAAAGCGTCAATTATGTCACAAGTTGATAATAATAAGCAGTTATTCAATAGCAAAGTGCGTTAACGATTTGCGCGCTTCAAGGAGAGCGTTGAAGATGTAAATCATGATGATGAGTAAAATTTGTGATAATCGAATCCACCATGAAACCTTTGCGAGGATCTCCGTAAGATTTGGTCATGTTTTGTTAATTGGTTGATGACTAAAGATTACATAGACTATACGGATGACTTTTTAACCTAAAATCGTATTTTAACAACACAAGGCAATAACGGTTGCAAACAATAAAAGTTTTCAAACTTCTAATTTTTGTCGAACTTTCCAAGACTTGAGCAGCTGTGGTGTTTCAGTCGGACCATCATTTTCGAATTTTAGTTCGCAAATAAACTTTTGCTGGATCTTCTAATAAGTAATGATATACATCGCACTCGGATGTGTTGCTGTCAGAGTTCACAAAACGAACTTGAAAGCCAAAAAGGTTTGCTGTTGAAAGTAGACATATTCGTCTTTAATCGCGGTATATATTGCTTACTTTATTAAAAGAGTGACACGGTGAAAATCCAAGCATTAAACTAATGTTTGTCACGTAGGCTCACATAGGTCAGGAACCTAAAACTAGAAAGTTAAACGCCGCTATAAAGACACGAAAAAATGTCTTCTCTGAATCATAACATTAAGAGTAACAGTGAATGCATTTATTTGAAACATCTAAAACGAAAAAGAGTATGCTTTAATTCAGGCCAGCAGTCAACATCGATAGCAAAATTTTCAAGAAAACTTCAAGGAAAAGGCAAAGTTCCCGGTTTGATGGAAGCGAGAGAAATGTAGTGTGTTGCGTCTACTAAAGCCTACTAAAATTGTTTCCTCTGAGCACTGCCAATAACAAATTGTCGATTTAGAAATTATGGTGATCAAGGACCAGAATGGTTCCGTACACATGACAAGGTGAGCTTGCTTTCCGGCAATTTACGGGCACACGTCGCAAAAATAATGAAGCACTAGTTGAAATTCAGTGAATGGAACGGATCGCCACACTCAATTCACCATTTGTTTGCGTCGATGTTGCATGCATTTTTTGAACATCAAGTTTGAGTCGAAAGATGAACGGGTTTTGGGAGTTTATACACAAATTGCCAGAAAGATGGAAAACATGTATAAATAGCGGTGCACAATATTGTGAATAAAATATTTTTTCATGTTTTTTAAAACACTTTTCTCTTTTTTACAACCTTATCCCTAAGTTTGTGGTCACTTTCAGCAGACGCGTAAGCGTCGAATTCCAGACTACTAATCAAATTTTTATTTTTCGAAGAAAACAAACTGTAGAAGGACAGGCTCGGGAGAAAGAAAATCGATCTTAATCAGAGATTTTGATGTTTATTATAAACGCAATAAAAAAATGTACATGTCTGCAACATCTTAGCTGTAGATAAATAAATTTAGCGGCCTTATTATTATATTATAACAATTAAGAGAAAATATTTGTATAAACTTTAATTAAGTTTATATCTGGGATACCTTTGTGTTCGATCTGAAAGCGAATCAAAATATATTTTTAAAACTTATTTCTTTGTATTTACAAACGCTAAATTGAAGTGTTGAATTATATTTTCAACTTAACTACTACGTTCAAAAATAAATGATAACAAATTATGTTGCCTTTTTTTATAATTCCAGTTACATAAGTCCTGCAACGACACCTTCGTCGAATAGCCACAACACAACTAGTCCCTTGTACCCTTCAACTGCCGGACAGATTTATCGTTTACATCCAGTAACAAGTTTATCTGGCTATTCCGACGTTATTGATTGCAATGCTATCTTATTATCACCGACAACGGCGACTGTTAACGGCGGGGATAATGCCGGGAATCCTCCAACCAGTGGCTTTTCACAGCGTCTACGTGAATTAGCGGCATCAGCCGGCTTACTATCGCTCAAGCCTCGTACACCTTTAAAGCCAGTTATAAAAACTCGAGGTTCACCGGGACCAGAGTTCCCGAAAAAAGTTACATTTAGTGCTTTTACAACGGTTCAAGTAGTGTGATTTTTAACTGCCGCCTTAAACTGCTCATGGAGTAATAAGTTAACTATAGATGAAAACGTTTAAGTAGCTTTAAATAAAGGTATATCCAAATTCTTATATAAAAATTCTAGCAATTTTATCTTACCATTAACTTTAAACTTTAAAGATATTTGCAGTGACTACTTTTTTGAAGAGCTTTGCTGTCAACCGTTGTTCACTCGGATGTATGTTGGTAACCGCAGTTAACCGTATTGTTGTTATGTTCGTAATTATTCGAAAGAAAAAAAAAAAAGAAAAGCAATTTATTAATTGTTACATTTTTGCATGTGTAACTTCATACGCATAAATGGGTTGTTATTATTTAATTGTAATTAGTAATGATTAATTGAAAAACTAACAAATAATTGTGATTATTCCTCAATTGTGTCTATGTAAAGTAACTGTCAAGCAAGAAATATTTGCCTTGAGGCGAATAATGGGTATCCACCATCTAAGATAAATACTCTTTACAAACAACATACCACATTTTAATCAAGCAATAAGTTCGCGATGCACTTACCATAACTAATTTGTTGCGGACCTAGCGACATAACGATCGTTAAAAATTTTTTTCTTAATTTACTGCATTCTTATATGTTTGGGTGCCGCAGTCCCTTTGTAAACTTGCATCATTTACGACGTCTAAGAAAATGTTTGCTACCTTATTCCACGACATAGTCTGTTTCATTTTTCTCAAGCCCATCAAAATATGTTCGTTTCCTGGAGTATCCTCTTGAAATTTGTAAAAGGATAATAATTAGCGATTTATGTTGAAAAACCCCTTACATTAAAAAAATTTCAATTTTTGATTCTAAGTAATAGTATTTGTACATACTACCGATGTGAAAAATTTCGGTCGAATGGGCCAATTTTTTAATACTTTCTATTATAAGAGTTATCATGAAAATTATGTCTTTGTAGAGCGCAAACAGTTTAATTTTTAATATTTCATGATAAAAATTGATCCGTAGCGTTAATGTGACATAAGTCAGCTATACTAAATTTGTATGTCTATTTTTTGGACATTAACTTACAAAAAGACGGGCATGGAAAAGCTTTAAATGCCAAAAAAATGCAAATGTGACGGCGAAAATAGATGAAAAATTATAACACACTTAACAGAAAAAGGTAATTGACTAACCTTAGACGTCAGCCGATGTGGTGTGCCCGTTTCCACGTGTCATGAAAAGTATTCTTTTACATGCAAAATGGCATCATTTTTCGTATTTTACGGCCTTGCCCGACTATAATGTTATTACATGATTTTCTCATTGAAAGATGTATAACTAACACAGCACCACTACAGCTCGTAAACAAATTGTGGAAATAGCATGAAAAACAACGACGAAAGTTAAAGATTCACCTTATCTACAAAAAACATAAATATTTTTGTTAAAAATGACATCTGAATGTCAGTCCGAGTTATTATTAATTAATACATATGTTATGTACATATTTATTCCGTATGTTTGCTTAATTATGTGCTCGTATCTTGTTTGCACTTGATATGTTGTACCAAGCTGAAAATTTATTTGCGATATTAATTTTCGACATTTCGAGATCTCTATAGAGAGAATGTATGGACATTCTACAGATGTTTTCCTTGGAAAGACACAAGACTTGCAAGGAAGATAAGCAAGAAAGAGCAAATGAAAGCAAGAAAGAGCAAATGAAAGCAAGAAAGAAGAAAGCATTATCAAAAGATATCTTAAACAGACCGAGAAAAAAGACAAATAGAGAAGACAAAACTCCGACAATGGATAGAACCATTAAAGTGCTGTAGATGGGTGAATGAACATGGCGAAATTGTCCCTGAATCATACCGATCAAACATATACGGATATTGAAACGATTATTTGATGAATTAGCATGTCTCTGGGTTTGCAGGTGGTGGATCACAAAAAGCCTTGTATAGTGCCATGAAACTGTGGCCTAAAATTGTGTTTTTGTCTTAAAAATTTAATAAACAAGGAAATTTGTGGAGATGTATTCTTCATAAAATAATTCCCCCAACTATGTCATCTTTTCTAGCGATTTCATATTACAAGCTTTATGTTCAAGACTGAAAATAGCTTTCTTCAAAAGTTATTTTGAAAAGAAATTTAATATTTAAAAGTAGTGAATGGTTTTGAAGTTCGATTTTTTTTTAATTTCGTCAAATGGCTTTTATAGAAAAACATTTCCTAAAATTCTTTTTGATTCTGCAAGAAAAAATTGTAAAATATACTTATTTAAAAAAAAGGAAATCACAAATTATGAACACTTTAGTCAATACAATATGTAATACTTTATATTTTATATACAAAAGTTTCAGTTTTTATGCTTATATTTACGATTTCTGTTTTTAGTTTAAATATTTCTTCAAAAACGTTGCGACGATAAAAGTTGATGAGGAGGTACCTTCTTTGGATGTAAAAGGAAAATTTATCTTTCTGTGCACATGTGCACATATATCCATTTAATATAAGATCGTAAAGAACAAGTAACGAAATAAATGATTTAATAAAAATAAATTTGTTAATCTCGTTTATGATAATATTTGCATTCGTTGTAATTGCCTTTGTACGTAACTTTTTTTTAACTTTTTCTGGTCTAGTACAACGCCCATTATTGATAGAAGGGAGCTGCTTCAAAATTGCAAATTGCTCTTGCCAGCAAAATTTCGCAAATTGTAGGAAAACCAATAAAAGCTAGTAAAGATTTTCGATGCTTTATTCACCGATGTCAATGGGACACGTTATGTAGTTGGAAAAGATTACAAAAATTCGCTGGAGAACTCAGCGAGTAAGAGAGCAGCAAAACCGTCAAAGGCTCTTTAGATGTTTTCCGGACAACTTTCCGCTTTGAGGGATCCGAAAATTGTTATTAATTTTCTTTTTGCCATATATAAGACTTTCGCAATCAGTTTCACAGTAATAACTCGCTCTAAACGAACATAGTAGAAATAAGAAGCAAACTACATTTGGTTGAATATAGACTAAATTATATGAAATTAGTGTGAAGGTGAGAAAAGTAAATAATTATTTTGAATAATTGTTGATATCAGCAAACAATAACTACCAAGGTTTTACCAGAGCGAGTCATGTAATAAAATTAAGTAACAAAATTCAAATTGAAGAAAGAAGATTAAAAATCCATCGTATAATCCAGCAATTCCGATAGCAGTTGTGATGGCAGCTTGAAGGTAGAAAAGTGTGCGAAATTCATTAAAAAAGCTTCAAGCGTATTCCTAATAAAGTCCGCGTACTAAAAGAACGGCCAAGGTGTTTGCTTGACCATTTTATTTATTCAACTAACATAAAAATCTTATAACTATAGCTTATATAGTTTATTATGAATTTACAATAACGAAAAATGATTACTATTATTATTATTATTAAAAATTTAGCCAGAGAATAAATTCTAAGACTAAAGTCTTAACGCACTAGCATCTAAGGCATTCAGCTTTATCAAAAACTCTACTGCACTTGAGATTTGAACGTACGACCAATGAGTTGCTGGTCGAGACTCTTGCCTACTCGGCCACTCAGGCGGATTAAAACGACAAATTATTATAGAGCAACGTAAGCAACTTGACAGTCAAAGAAATTTGACGGCAGGATACCTACTAAGAGGTTTTTACCTATTGCATAGAATGATGCAAACATCTAATGTGTGTGTCAGTAGAATAACTGAATGCGCATTAAACTCTTTTATCTGTAGGTATTTAGTGTTATTTAGTGTTTTGTTTTCAATCGAAAAGGTGAACAGTCAGCACTTTTCAACAGTGGGTATCGCATGTTATATTTCAGTTAAAATTTTGTTGTTTTTTTTAAATCCAAACGATGTGTAAATATATTTATAAAATAGAAATAATAAACATAGTTAAGTGTAAAGCTTGGGCTTTTTTTAAAATTTTTTTGTAGCCTACCTAGCTAGCTCAGCTACACTCACATAAACAGGGAAAATAAGATGAAAAAAAGGGTTTATTTATATATATATTATATCAAAATTTTTAAGTTGAGAGTAATCTACGGCGTACCTTAGCCGCTAGTCTCGTTGTCCGTTAGTACCGTTTTTTGGTCGTTACTTAGTACTCATGTGATGACAAAAACGACAGTGACACATTGAAGATGATTGCATGATAGGAGCGTATGAAGCCGGCGACCACCAAACGAGGTTATGAAGAAGAGCAAGGAAAATTTTGATTAGGCCCCCAAGTGCAGGCACATGTTCACCATTGGTTTGAAAGAATTCTTCTCAGTATTGCTTTGATTTGTTCTTAATGGACTTCTTACAAAATTTTTCTACATTTTATTCCCTATATTATTTTCTTATTCATTAACTTATTCATGATAGTTGTCTGCCTTTTTTTTGTTCATTACTTTTGCTCATCGTACCACAATAAAGTTAATTATTCAAAAAAAAGGTTACACAAATGTTAAGTACGTAAATACAAATAAATCGCTTCTGCAATTATATATTTATGTGTGCGATGTTTATCACAATTAGGTTTACATATGTAAAGTAACAGCGTGCAAATATACTTTCCTCAAAATAAGTTCACCGTTTTGATTGCTTCTAAGTTTTTCTTTTTCTTGGTCTTAAAATTCTTTATAGTTTAGATTACGATTTACTTAAATTATTCTTCAATTAACTTATATACTGTTTCTGGCATTAAATAATCTATCGTTTAAAAGCAAAATTTTATTATTTATTTGTTTATTTAAATAAAAATTGCTCGCACGTTCGTTGATCTCGCACTTCTCTTAATTAACCTTCCGATCTTTTCAAGAATTGGCTTGCAAGAGGTTATGGCGACTCTCATTTGTCGAAAATAAATTTGTGGATCGTTTGCTAGTTTTAAACAAAGTTGTGTCTACACCCACGATGCTGAATATTCTGGTCCCAAATTTGGCTCAAATTCGCTATTCCAGAAAACATAAAAAATGCACAAAATCGTTTCGGAAGATCGAAAAGTGAAATACACTAGCTAGCTAGCACTTAACAATATCAGAAGACACTGCATTTGCTACTTCGCATGAACATGTATTCATGAGAAAGCTATGTTCAAAATGGGCATGGCATTTTCCCAGTTTTGACAAAATCCAATATCTTTAGGGCTGCAGTGTCAAAGTAAAAAGGATCTTTTTTTGCGACATCAACCGAGTCGATATTGAATCGTAAACAAATGCTCGACGGAAAAACTTATGTTCCCAATGAGGACGTAGTGACACCGAAACTGACTCATACTTTGAAGGATTCAGGAATTCTATAAAAAGACCTAGAAATGCCGGACAAGTGTTGGACTAATAGTACCACTCTGGAAGAAGTCTATGTATAAATAAAGAAGTGCTGTTATTCCATATGTTAATCCTTTATAAAAGATAATCACAGATTTGTACAAATTAATAAAATTTAGCGAGTAGAATGTTAATAATTAATTTTTTCACAAAAGATATTATTCAGAGACAATTTGTGTATCAAATGTTCCTCTGCATATTACTTCAATTTAATTTTTTTATTATTTTATTCCACCAGAAAAACCAAGCTGGTAGAAACGACATCCTAATATTAGCCAAAGTTCGCCAAAAAGTTGATGCTTTATTAGTAATGCTACTTAGTCACTGATGTGGTACATTATTTTTATTCCTAACAGAACTGGTACTTCTCTGGTGAAACATCAACTTTATACTGAAGCGCTGGTCAAAGATGTTTGAACGTTGCCATTTTGTTGGAGTATAACTGCCCTTACGTTCTGCCATTAGAATGCGCCTTTTGCATAATAAGAAATCCGACGCTAAGAACAGTTGAAAAGATACGGTTGAAGGCAGACAGAGAAAGTAGCGAAAAGCAGTGTAAAAATAAGGAATTTTTA